TCACCACGAAATTAGGTATTGAAAAATTGCTTCGCACAAGTGGATGACGGTATAGAAGAAGAAGAATTATTAACCCTTAAAATAATAATCGTAGCTCATTAGTCATCCCCTTGTGGGATGCAATTTTCGTTTCTTTTTAACCCCCTCCCCAACCTGCTCTTGCCAGGGGCGCAATAGAGCCCGGCTATAAATATAGCCTAATGATTGAACGCAGTTTCCGAGACCTCTCCGCTGGTGATCCTCATCCACATGGTGGCACCTTGTGTCATGGGGTGTTTATCGCTTGTGTGATGTCCTAGTGGGGTAAAATGTACTACTACTAATTATTTCCCCTGATTTCAAACTGCTTGTGACTATGATAACTCGCAGCAACGTTTCTAGTGCGTCGCCGACAGTGTTGCCACTTTGGATCTTTTATATCCAAATTTAGATCTTTTTCATTGCACTTAGATACTGTTTTTGACGTTTAGATCGTAAATGTTTTTCTAGATTCTTTTATATATGGAGTTAGATATTTTATAGATTTTTTTTCTTTCATTGTCAATTTAATAATTACTGTGTAAAATATTTACTACAATATTTTTGTTTTGGTCTGGCACGTACATTGTGATAACTGCCATTACTTGAACTTTGAACTCTCACTGGGGTCAACGCACAAATATCTGGCAGCCCCGGTACTGATGAATAAAAACGCGCGTAAATCATACTAACTTTGTTTCAACCGTATCCTCACTGTGCTGAATTTGCGTTTCTTTTTCATGTGATTTAAAAATACTAATTGCTCACCTTCTTATGTGGTTTTCACTTTGGAAAAACCTTTTAACATGCCAAAACTAAAGCATGAGCAAAAAATTTGGAAAGAGTGGTTGCATGATGACAAAATTAAAAACTGGGGATATGACCAAAGCTTGTTGTAAGTACTGCAAGTGTGAAATTAAAGAGAAAATACAAAACTCAGAGTCATGCAGAAACTAAAAAAGCAAAAAACTGCAGTTTAATTTAAAGATATTACACCGCTGGCATCTGTTTTCAGAACTATACTGATAAATTATTTGTCAGACAACAGCAATACAATACATTATATACAGCCTTGAATGATGGTTCCACACCACCGAAAATTCTGTCAGATTGCAAAACTAGATGGTTATCAATTTAACCAGCTGTTGAAAGAATTATGAAGCAATGGCTGAAGTTGAAGACACACTTTGAAATAACAAGACAAAGTGACAAGTGCTACACAGCTGAAAAACTATATGGAATGTACAGTGATGAAAAAAAATGTGTCATTCATTCTCTTTTTATAACCTATTCTAATGGAAGTGCAAAAAGTTAATAAACTGTTCGAATCTAAACTTGTTGATAAAGTTAAATTACTTGATGCCCGGCTCTCTAGCGTAGTTGGCTAAACCGGATTGCGCGAAGACCGGGTGACGATCTCCATGTGGTCCGGGTTCAATCCCGGGGGTAGGTAGAAAAGCCATATTTTCTCCCAGATTTACGGTATTTACAATGGAATCAAGGTCGAAAGGTTGCGATATCCATAATACCAAGCCTAAGGGTTAACAACTCATGGCTTCTGGATACTAAAACAAACAAACAACAAATTACTTGATGATCTCACCTTGCTATTTCACTCGGTAAAAGACTGGTGTTGCCAACTTCTAAAGCTGATTTGCTCACTTGCACTATAGAGAGCTATTTGGCTCCTAAGCCACACCCTGGATATTAAATCGAATCAAAAATTTATGATTTTAAAAACAAAAGGACTGTTAACAGAGAATGAAGAGAACAACTTAAGAAAACGCTGTCAAGATTTCCTTATCTCATTATTGAAGCAACTGAAGCAGAGACTTCCTGAAAATCTAGATGTTTTGAAAATTATTTCACTTTTTTCTGTGAGCAACATACTTCAGCCAATAAAGCTAAAGTAAAGTTATGAAATTTTTAGGCGCTACTGATAATAGTGTCGCGGAAGCAGAATATCAGTTAACCAAAATAAAGTTAGCTGAATGGACAAACAAAACAGAAACTAAAGCGTTTTGGAGTGAAGTGAGACAATTTAAAGATGCCTCATCAAACAGTCCATTCTGTAAGCTCTTTAAAGTGCCATGTCTGCCATGATACTACCCCACTCAAATGCTGACGTGGTAAGAGTTTTCAGTGCTAGGAATTATATCAAATCTAACCTAAAAAACAGGATGAAATTTGACCTCTTAAATGCTATCGTGCCATTAAAATTCGGCCTGATGAGACTAGAGAAATAAGCATACAGTTCCACTAATAAAGAAATTTGAACAGCTAAAGTATACCAGGGTCATTTGGATCTGGGAAGCTTCAACTTCATTATCCAAGCTAGGTTTATCCTGTGGATCTTGTGAGGCAGACATCAGTGAAGATGAGGACGTGATTATGTAGGGTAAGTCATAACAAAAGCTATGAAATTTTTGACTTTTTCAATTTGGATGTTTTCTCTAGATCTTTTCCACGCAGATTTAGATCTTTTTAAATATTTTTTGACACCGTTTTGGATATTTTTTGTCAAAGAAAAGTGGCAACACTGGTCACCGACAGTGTTGCCACTTTGGATCTTTTATATCCAAATTTAGATCTTTTTCATTGCATTTAGATCCTGTTTTTGACGTTTAGATCGTAAATATTTTTCTAAAGACTTTTCATATGGAGTTAGATATTTTATAGATTTTTTTTCTTTCATTGTCAATTTAATAATTACTGTGTAATATATTTACTACAATATTTTTGTTTTGGTCTGGCACGTACATTGTGACATTTGCCATTACTTGAACTTTGAACTCTCACTGTGGTCAACGCACAAATATCTGACAGCTCCGGTACTGATTAATAAAAACGCGCGTAAATCACACTTTGTTTCAACCGTATCCTCACTGTGCTGACTTTGCGTTTCTTTTTCATGTGATTTAAAAAAATAATTGCTCACCTTCTTATGTGGCTTTCACTTTGAAAAAACCTTTCAACATACCAAAATTAAAGTATGAGCAAAAAATTTGGAAAGAGTGGTTGCATGATGACAAAATTAAAAACTGGGGATATGACCAAAGCTTGTTGTAAGTACTGCAAGTGTGAAATTAAAGCGAAAATACAAAACTTAAAGAGTCATGCAGAGACTAAAAAAGCATAAAACTGCAGTTTCATTTAAAGATTTTACACCGCTGACATCTGTTTTCAGAACTATACTGATAAATGAATCATCAAAAGTTAAAGTACCAGTCGCAATGTTTTTAATTTGTCACTGCACAATTTCAAACTGTGACCATTTGATCGATTTGTAAAAAATCTTGGACTAGTTCAATTTGAAAAGTGTGGTGTAGAAAGTATAATTTAGGAACTGAAGGACCTTTTAATCAGCAAACAGTTAGGCTTAAAGAATTTGGCTGTAATTGGTACTGATAATGCCTCAGTAATGGTTGGTATAAACAATGGCATTATGCCAAGGAAGCTAACCCATCGTTAATACTTATAAAATGTATGCGTCATTCATTGCAGCTAGCATTATCACATGCTTCATCTAAATATTTACCAGGAATTTGGAATACCTTATTGCTGAAACACTTTACTGGTTTTTTCCAAATCATTTGTCAGACAACAGCAATACAATACATTATATACAGCCTTGAATGATGGTTCCACACCACCGAAAATTCGGTCAGATTGCAAAACTAGATGGTTTATCAATTTAACCAGCTGTTGAAAGAATTATGAAGCAATGGCTGAAGTTGAAGATACACTTTGAAATAACAAGACAAAGTGAAAAGTGCTATACAGCTGAAATACTATATGGAATGTACAGTGATGAAAACAATTTGTCATTCATTTCTCTTTTATAACCTATTCTAATGGAAGTGCAAAAAGTTAATAAACTGTTTCGAATCTAAACTTGTTGATAAAGTTAAATTACTTGATGATCTCACCTTGCTATTTCACTCGGTAAAAGACTGGTTTTGTCAACTTCTGAAGCTGATTTGCTCACTTGCGCTATAGAGAGCTATTTGGCTCCTAAGCCACACCTTGGATATTAAATCGAATCAAAAATTGATGATTTAAAAACAAAAGGACTGTTAACAGTGAATGAAGAGAACAACTTAAAAAAAAAAACGTTGTAAAGATTTCCTTATCTCATTATTGAAGCATAGACTTCCTGAAATCTAGATGTTTTGAAAAATATTTCACTTTTTTCTGTGAGTAACATACTTCAGCCAATAAAGGACATACCTAAATATTGTAAAGTTATGAAATTTTTAGGGGCTACTGAAAATAATGTCGCGGAAGCAGAATATCAGTTAACCAAAATAAAGTTAGCTGAATGGACAAACAAAACAGAAACTAAAGCGTTTTGGAGTGAAGTGAGACAATTTAAAGATGCCTCATCAAACAGTCCATTCTGTAAGCTCTTTAAAGTGCCATGTCTGCCATGATACTACCCCACTCAAATGCTGACGTGGTAAGAGTTTTCAGTGCTAGGAATTATATCAAATCTAACCTAAAAAACAGGATGAAATTTGACCTCTTAAATGCTATCGTGCCATTAAAATTCGGCCTGATGAGACTAGAGAAATAAGCATACAGTTCCACTAATAAAGAAATTTGAACAGCTAAAGTATACCAGGGTCATTTTGGATCTGAAGCTTCAACTTCATTATCCAAGCTAGGTTTATCCTGTGGATCTTGTGAGGCAGACATCAGTGAAGATGAGGACGTGATTATGTAGGGTAAGTCATAACAAAAGCTATGAAATTTTTGACTTTTTCAATTTGGATGTTTTCTCTAGATCTTTTCCACGCAGATTTAGATCTTTTTAAATATTTTTTGACACCGTTTTGGATATTTTTTGTCAAAGAAAAGTGGCAACACTGGTCACCGATTGTTGTACTCTTGCTTAGTCGAACGAACAGTTTGCTGCAGCACTGATTTAAAGACGGATTTTAAGACGCTTCGATAAAAACGCCGACACTTTGGACATAATTATGTCAGTCATAATTGAAACTTCAGTCGGGGACATTACGGTAGATTTGTACACAGATGAGAGACCAAGATGTAAGTTATATTATAATATTAATAATCAAAACTCATATTTATTTGTTTTTTAGTTTTTAATTATAAATTAAATAATTTAAAATTAAATGTACATCTGGTAGTTTAGCTGGGCGACGAAACTATATCCTTTAGTCTACAGATGGAGCAAAAATGCAACGGATGCCGTCTGGCAGAAGAAAAAATTTGCCTCGGATCCAAACAGTGCCCTTGCCTAGTGTCCATTTTGACCAGAAGTCACACTTTGGGCCATCAATGTACATATAGGATTGTATGTCATGTCATTCACTTTGACATTATTTTATTCAGTCACCCTTCCGAATACCGGTCCCAAATTATTCACTGTGTAAAACATCCCTGTAAGAGCCTTAACAGGTTATGTACTGCTGTTATTGCTCGATGGAAACCAATGTTTAGACGTTAAGCCAAGCGTTGTGGGAAGTAGTTTTTCAATTCATTAAAGCGTGTGGGGAAGAATAAGTTTTGATCCATTGTTCACATTACCCATGACTCTCCTTATGGGTTTCAGGGCCACTTGTTTGAGGAAAAAATAGAATAGATCCACTGCCACCTAAAAAGCATGTTGAAAAGGCGACTAGAACCTAGCTTTGATCAGATGTGTTGGGTCAAAAGGTGCAGATATCGCAGCCTAGCTGTAAACTACAACACAATGTGCTAACTGCCCTTTCAAGGGCTGTCGAAAAAAAAGAAGATTACCAACTCTTGACATGACCATTTAGCATCTCACCTCCGCCATCGCAGCCTTGCTGTAAACCACAAGACCGAGCGAAAGGCATAAATATCGCAGCCTAGCTGTAAACCACAACACTTTGTGCCAACCGCCATTTTAAGGGCTGAAAACAAAAATTATCACCCATCGGAGAATTTAACACCGGTCACTCGCATGACAGGCATATACTTACAACTGTATTACTTTCCATGAATTATATATATAATAGCGCGAAGCATAGTTCGTCGTGTGCCTATTCCATGTTTTTACTATATGACCTCTTGAGGCCCTAAATGGGATTTTTTTTAAACAGTAAATAATTTTGGACCAGTATTCTGAAGAGTGCCTTTTATTCATTCTTTTCAGAAGCTAATGTCAAATTTTAAAAGAAAGATTGAGATGGGCAGTTTGATTCTGCATGGAAAATTAAATCTAAAAGTACTTCATTTAAGCCTCTACATACAATCATACATCAGTTCTTCTTCGCATTCACCAGTTCTTCTTCGCATTCACCGGCTGTGAACTCTGGAGGAAAGTTCTGGTTGTTTGTCCACTTCTTTACCTCTGATGGGTCTTGTCCCAGAAATTGAGTTTTTGCATGCACATCCATTTTAAAGATCTGGCTTATTTGTATGCAGATTGTTAGTTCTTCACCTGTCAGGCAGATGCACTCCGTCTTGAAGGTAACAAGTTCAACTCTGTAGATTGTTTAAAGAGAGTCTGGCGTTTTGAGGCTCTGAGTCAGATGTGGCTTCATGTTTCCTGTAGCTTTTGTAAGCTCTGCCATTCTATTTCAAGGGATCCATAGTAGGCTGGAATTGACTGCAGGACTAGATCTGTTCTTGTGGACAGCATTCTGATTTTCATTAAATTAATTTCATATTTGAGGCAGTCCTGTTAGAGCATGAGATGGTTTGGAGGACTGATTTTACTCTGTGAATATGATAGCTTTTTATTTAGTTGAACTGGAATATTGGAAATCTGCTGGGTTAAAATATGACTCCTGCTTAGCTCTGAAGTAGTTGCAAGTTTCCCTTGCTCATACCGAGTGTGTATCTGTGTTGCAATTAGTGTATGCAATGTAGATTCACCCACCGCTGATTTATGGCCTCTTTTGCCAATGCTCTCTGTAAACATAATTGGCACCTTTCCGTCTTTCCAGACGACAGTGTTATATTGTGCTATGAGGAGACATGGGACTCGCAGTCCTTGGCAATGGCGAGTATGACTAGCAAGACCCACACTCATTGAGAAAAGTCTTCCACAATTATAGCAGGGGATTTTAGGACCATTGTTGTCAACATTTGTGTTTAGTCTGTTTCTTCTCAGATGCTCAGCTCTCATCCCTTCGCCTTCAATAGAGAGCATGTAAGAGGACTGGCAGGTCTACTTTTATGCAGCCTCCATGGTAGACATCAGAGGTGGAACAGGCATGGAAGTTTAAGAGAGCTGCAGTAAAGCATTTAAAGAAAGTGCGACAGTTAGCCCTAAACTCACAGGAGGAATTGGAGTGTGCGGAAAGAGATAAGAAAGATAGGATAGAGTGTTTCAAGCACTATGCGGCAGAAGCCAAAAAAGCAAAATGGGTGCATTTTATTGATGAGAGGGGGGGGCGGGGGGCTATAAAACATTGGGACAGTTTTGGAAGTTACAAAGCAGATGCTGAAGAAAGATCGGCCCAGCGTAGTGGGAGCAATTCATAGAGATGACGGTATGCTATTAACCACAGACAAAGATAAGGGGGAGGCTTTTCTGAACTTCATTTCACAGACAGACCAAAATGATGGAGAACGGAGATACAGTTAGAGAAGATCTGGCAGCCGACTTGAAGAACAAACATTATGAAGACATCATACAGGTGGAAGATTTGAAACGTTCTGCAAAAGACACTGCACCCGGGCCTGACAGGGTTACATATTCCCACATGAAAGACATGAGCAATGCAGACCTGGTGGAGATGACTGCTTGTTTCAGCCAGAGCATTAGGACAGCTTGAGTCCTAGAAGAGTGGATGCATAACTACCTGATTCCATTTCCTAAGCCTGGCAAGGATAATTCAACACTCAGCAGCTTTAGGGTCATAACCCTACAAAACACCTTTGGTAAAGTGCTGGAGAAGATAGTAAAAGGGTAAGCTACAAGAATTTTTGTTTTTTGTTTTGCAGCATTTAGCTGTGATTATGTGTTGACCACTAACTGCAAAAGGTTACATTTCAATTTTGCAGTTTTAAATATTGCGTTTCAGGCTGCATGAACTTTTTGAAACTGTGCAAGGTGAAATACTACAACTTTTCACTGTTTCATACTGTTCAGGTAAATATATTTTGTAATTATATCATGCAGTAATATCCAGAAGTAGCTGTTAAAACCAGTATAAACACTTTACTTGACTTACTGTATATGTTGTTAGCCAAATCTGGGAGATTTATGAAATACTATGTAACAGGACAGAAGGATATCTGATAAAAAGGATACCTGTAGGAGTGGGGATATTCATCATCATCATCAAGTGCTTGGCAAACTCTTTAAGTGGTCATGCTTCTCCAGATTGTTTATCAGTATGTGTGCTGGCTCCTTTTCATGCCACAAGAAAGGGCTGTCCATAATGCCCTCTCAGTAACTATAATTTTCACATGTACCCATTTTTCTCCTCTCATAAGCAGAATATGCAATGAGACATGTGTGCAGGCTTGAAAATATTGAGTGAGGAGCAGAGTGGAGGTTTTAATCAACAGTATGTGCCAGTGTATGGACTGGCCAGTGAGTGCTGCAGAATCAGAAGTACAATGCAGTTCCTGCCCAGGTGATGTGATTATCTATATGGATGGCTCTGTGTTTAGGGGCAGAAGAAGTGCATGGCGGTTTCATAGCAAAGGCCAATGGATGTCGCTTAGCGCAACAAAGCCCTGTATTTAATACCACAAATCTAGTTTGAGAATGGAGGTGGAGGTAGACACGTCAGCCTTCCGCTGGCTTGAGAATCAGCTGCACACATGTCATCATGATTGTAACTGACTCACAGCGCACAAGGTCTGTAGACAACAGTGCAGTTAGGAGTGACTACGATATCTAGCTGACTCTTTATACTCAGGATAATGGCAGGATGGACATACAGTCCGGCAGTCACTGATACCATCAGAAGTGGAAGTGTGCACTTGCTGCTGAAGGTTGGAATAAAACACTTATGGGAATGTCATAAGTGTTATGATGTTGGTTCTTAACTCTAACCTTTTATAGTGTGGCCAGATTATCTCTTTCTGTTGTTTGTAATACGTTGTCTATGCTTAAAGAGAATTACTAAAAGAAAAAAATTGAGACTAAAATATTTTGGCTACATTAAAAGAAATAACACTCTTTCAAAAAGCACCCTGAATGGCAAAGGCACGAGAGTAAGAGGTAGACAATGATACAAGTGGGAAGATGATGTGATATCCTTGCACAAAGATATTTGAATTCCTGTATTAGTCTGTAATTAATACTATTTTATGGGTTTTTACTTCCGCTGGTAATAGAACTTTGACTGTTGATCTCAGAAATCTGCATAAAGCTGTATGCAGACAGTTCTTCCCCGATTGCTTTCGTTGTGGCACAACGTTGCATTCAAATATGCAAGTGCTTTTATGTAAGACTGTCACACAAAGCACAAACTACCTAGCTCCAGCGATGATCACATCAACATTCTGGTTTTATTTTCCAATGATCCAATTTTTTTTCTGTTGCCCTGTTCTCTGCGCAGGTTGTAGGCGAACTTTGACTGTTGACCTCAGAAATCTGTATGTAGCGGTCGTTATGGGCCCATAGCGAGAAAGTCACAGTAATCGCCTTGCCCACAAGATTAATCTACTCGTTGTAGCAGCAGTGGTAGTAGTAACAGAATATTAGTAGTTGTTATTGTAGTTGGCCAAGTGGTTACAACATCGGGTTGTCATGCCGGAGACCCGAGTTCAACGCCGACCTAAAAAAGGTGGTAAAATCGACAGTTGTGACAGTTTTTTAGTTGTTGTTGTGGTAGTGGTGGTGGTACTGGTACTTGATGTGTGATGTGGTAAATATTACACTGGCCTCATTTACTTCTCATTGCAATTCCTGCTACCAATTTTAGTCTGGGTGGACACGGTTGCCTAGGTCAATTTTAAAAAAATGTGTCATGAATTTTAAATCCTTAAGTGAGGGAGAGAGAAGTAGTTGGTGGATTGCGGGGGAGAGGAGGGGGTTATGACAGAAACTGTTCAGTGAAAGAGTTTAAAACATTTTAAAGTTTTCATTTATTTTTTTAAATATTTTTTTTTAAATAATGCTACCTCAGCTATTCTCATTGGGGGGGGGGGGGGGGGTGGGGGGGGTGGGGGGGGGGGGGGGGGGGGGGGGGGGGGGGGGGATTTGTTGGTTATTTAGAAGTACAACAGTAAGCTTTACTTTTCTTTTTAAAAATATAAACAGCTTTAGCCTGTGATAAACAAATTACAATTTTTTTGGTCGTAATAGTACAATTTAAACGACCACTAATATATGTTGCTTGTTCTAGAGTCGGCAAACCAGACTATATCTGTGCAAACATTGCTTGCCAAATTAACTATTTTTTTTTAACTCTCTTTTAAGAGAGTCAGTGTTATAAGTCTCTAGTTCATATTCTCCAACGATATCGATGTCATCAGCATATCAGTTTCATATAATTTTCTCCAGGGCCCAAGTTGAAAAATAGTGGGGACAGAGCATCACCTTGATTTAAACCAGATATTTGAAAAAAGTCTGACTTTCTGCCTTTATATATTACTATATTACAAGTGTCTTCTATACATAGTTTGGTCATGGAAATTAACTTCTTTGGTATTCCAAAGTCCTTCATAGCATTCCATAAACTGTTTCCATGAACACAATCATACACTTTTTTAAAATCCACAGAAACATTATGTATATCTCTTCTATATTCCCAATTTTGCTCTGCTTTTTGCAGTAAAATGAATATATGATCTTTTGTTGGTCTGTTCTGTCGTAAACCTGCTTGGTAATCTTCCAATATGTCTTCGACGTATGGTTTTGTCCATGTTCAATATAGAAATAATAATTTACTTTTCATAAACTCAGTCCAAATGTAGCGTGACACTACTTTTAATGTGGACAGCATGCAGGTTTTCTATTTCAGTTACTCTCTTTCATTCTTGAACAGGATATGCTGACACATCTGACCTGCTGGTATGTTGTCACACTTAGGACCGTGCTGAAACTTTTTGATTGACTGGCTCTATCTAGCTTTCATACTGGGCCTGTTGCCACATACACTGTTGACGTCTGTAGTCTGCTGCAGGCAGCAGTCGTGATGGATCTGTTGGCTTGAGAATTAATAGTCATTAGCACAAATGTTCCATTATTTGACTGGTAAATTTTGATATTTTGCAACAGTTTCTATAGGCTGAAACCGAATACAGCAATGCCTAGTGGTAGAACTGAATTGCCTTTTCAGCAGTGTCTCCTTTGTGTAACACTGTTTGTAGAATAGCCCACTGCAAACGTTACTGTATTGGAATTTTTTTAATCAAAGAATGGGTGGAAGTAGCTGTTGATAACGAGAATGAGAAGAAACACTTGCTTTACGCTTCTTGCGTTAACATTCCATAGCTATCATTTCCTGCTCTTGAATGTAACTGGGCCCTGCCTCACAGATGACAGGCCTCTGTTTCAGCTCCTTCTACCGCTGAGTATGTTATTTAAAAAAATGGAATTTTTCAGCCATTTAACTCCAGGTTTTCCTGCAGTGATGTACTCTTTGCATCTTTCCTGGACCACAGCAACTCCAGTTTTCCCTTTCCTAATGGATTAAGTTGGTAGGAAAAACACACATTGCCATGACATTGTGATTGACAAGGAAATTGATCGTTGCTGTTCCAACAAGTGTGTCATCCAATCAATGTTCTTAGTTCTCACTTGTTTTTCTAAGAATCAGTCACAACTGCTACTGCAGCAGAAACACAGTTTGACTACTGACTCGGTTACCTTTCACTCTGAATGTTTCATCTGAACTGGTATCTCATTTGCAGCACAGGACAACAAGTATTCTCAACTGCTAGGTCATTGAGTACAGGTCACTTCTGGTACAGCCCATCTTCCTTCCATTCCAGATACGTGCCCCCGCTGTTGGCTGTCACACTTCATGGCAGACACTGTTCTCATTCAACTGACCTGCCTTTTGTACTATCAACACCAACTGATTCATTCCTACTTTCTCACCTCCAGTCCTTTGTTCCCATCTCACAGGTTTCTTCTTCCATTTGTTCACGCCTACACCGGAAATTACAAACATACTTTTTCCACGCTTCCCCCTCTTAACTGGCCCTTGAGGAACAACTTGGGATTTCTTATTTGTTTTTATAACTATCTATATACCCAGACATCATGTCATCTTTACCATTATCAGGCATATTCTTTGCATTCATAGTCATCTATAAAATGAATTTTCAGCACTCACTCTCTCTCTCTCTCCTGCAGTTTTTAATAGGCTAATTCTTCTAGTAAATTTTTTTTTTAATTTTGCCTACCCACATATTATGTCAACTGTCTCTTTTATTTTCGCCTTGTTGTTCTATAAATCTGAATTTCATATTAAGGGTGTTTAAAATATTTGTCTACTGATTTGTTGTTTGTTGATAATGTATAATTTTGCTGTTTCTATATTTCGCCAATAAAATTTGTAACAAACATTATAAGTCTACATTTTCTTTCTATTGTGATAATCACAGCAAAATCTGGTGGCACAGACTGGTGATCCAACCGCTACTGGAAGGGGTGGTGAATCCATTTTTGGGTGAGATGAAAACATATCTAGTTGACTATAATTATTGATAAGGGATAGTGTTAGTTAACTAAAACTAAAACTAAATCAAAACTTAAAATTTTAATTCCTTTATCAAGATCAGTTCTGTTGTGTGTAGCGGAAACATGGAGAACAATTAAGGCAATTACTACAAACATTTTGTGTCTGTGCAGAAAAGAAGGAATTAAATGGTACGATAGAGTCACTGATGTAGAGCTTTGGGAGAGAACTAAACAAGTTCCGGCGCATTTAGAAGCGAATAAAAGACGCTGGCAGTGGATAAAACACATGTTAGGAAAACCTGAGAACAATGTAACTAGAATGTCTTTGCACTGGAACCCAAAGGCATAGAAATAAAGGAAGACCAAAAACCCACAGAGAAGTGAACTAGAGAGTGAAGTTAAAAAGATGGGGAGAGCTGCATGCGATAGCAAAGGATAGAATGACTTGGTGTGAGTTGATTGAGGGCCTATGCTGCATTGGGGTTAGAAGGCAGAAGAAGAATTGAGGCTCTCCTTTAAATAACGGTCGCTATCTGGAAGGCGACGGCCGCTTAGTTGGAGTTCACTCCCTTGGCTGCAGTGCAAATACGGAGCGGTAAAGAGGGAACGAAACAAATGATATAGTTACCTGTCATCCTAGGGTTTGGGGTAGGGTTAGAGTTAGGGGTAGGGTTAGGGTTAGAGTTAGGGTTAGGGTTAGGGTTTGGGGTAGGGTTCGGGTTAGGGTAACACATCACGGAAACGACGGAAGCTTATCGCTCATTACGACATACAGATCCGCAGGTCTCACATGTACGGTCACTAAGTCGTGCGTCGGAAGAAGGTGGTCTCTAATGTGAGTTGCAGCGCGTGGTCTACAAGAGTCTTGCGTCGCAAGACCGCGGCCGGTACTGTCAGTCGCAGCGTGCGGTGTAGCTCTAACAGGCATGTCGACCTCACTTTGTTGTTTGATTCGTGACTTGTCCGCTCCGTATTTGCACTGCAGCCAGGGGAGTGAACTCCGACTAAGCGGCTGTCGCCTTCCAGCTAGCGACCATTATTTAAAGGAGAGCCAGAATTGTTAAGGGAGCCAATCTGATTTAGAGGCTCGATGCTTGCCTGCGAATCTGAAGATTGTGGATCCAAATCCAAATGGAAGTGGACTTTTTTTTTTTAACGACTTTGACTTCCAGGTTGACCCAACTTTAAGTGGATACCAGGTAAAGTTCAGGGAAGTAAAGGCAACCAGTATGATTTTGACCACATCACTCACCGAATGCTATAAAATATAGGTCTAGCACTGTATGCCCAATACACCTGAAAGGAGTGGAAAAGGATCCTTTAGTTCTACGCTGTCAGACGGCACTGTAGCCATTCTAACAGTTTGCTTGCAGGATTGCAAATGTTATTGCAGTAATAGTGCTCTAATCCTTTTGTCTTGTGTGTTTAGATGTTATTAACATGATGTAAAAGAGGTACCATGTAGTAATTTAATGCTTGCACTGTGTATAAATCACTCAGATTAGTTGTTCATTCACTGTGGCATATCAGCTATACTCTCCCCTGCAGGCTCCTCAATAGAGAGATAAAAGCCAGTGAGTACAGAAGGCAATTGATGTCACCTGCCAGTTAGCCCCCCTGCTTAGACACCCAAATGTCTCCCTTCCAGCAAAACAGCAAATGATTAACAGCATCTTTATCCCTGCCTTATGTTATCAGTGCCAAGCATGGACAATGTATAGGGCTCTAGAACAGAAACATAACTACATGTGAAAGGCGCTGTCTCCTCAAGGTCACTAACAGTACTAGACGAGACAGGGCTACGAATACCGTAGAGAGAAAGTTGGATTATAAGACCATATCTGGATTATGACACTTTTAAAGTCGTAAGGTTGCTTTGGCAGATATCTCATTTCTTACATTATTATATACCTGACTTTGTCAACCAATCAGCCGACTGTATGGAGAGCAGGCCAGATTCTTTGAGATGGAAATATCTCCTCGAATTAAACACAGCAAAAAAGGCCTTATCTCAATGGTGAACAATGGCAGTGACATGCATGGCTCTCAGGTTTGTCAAATTTTATTTGGTAAGACCTGTAGAAAGTCAGTTTAAGTGTTGTAGTTGTAGTTTCCTTGGCTTTGTGTTTTTAATATTAACAGTTATATATGTATGAATTGACAGACATGCAGAATATCTGATAACTTAGCATTGAATAAAAACACATTGAAAGAAAAAAGGCTATCTTCTGTATGTTCTGTTTGTCAATTGTTAAGACGAACCTGCTAGCTTTTTCTTATAATGTGTTGCAAGGATTGATAGTGATCTATTCTGCCGAATACTACTGCACTAGTGACAGCGCTAGACTGCCTATCCAGTCAAAAGAGTGCTAACAATAAGTCTTTTTCCATTATGTGGTACCTATAATCCCACAGGCAAACCAAGGATACATGAATGCATAATTAGGAAAAGCGTTAAAGTATCAGAAACACGACACAAAATTTACTCCACTGACATTCAGTGTTTACAGTGACCAGGGCAGAAGTTACATCATTCTTGGTAATTCCAAGACTAGCATTGAACTGTGATCTAGGTCAGTCCGGTCTGTCGGTTTCTCCTACATTTAATTGTATACACATGCATAGGACATGATCAATTTATATTATTAAAAAAAGGATAGGTGAATTCCAATCTGTCTGGACCATCCATTGAGGGAATATAAGAAGATAACCCCCATCGGTCTAAAAGTGAATGCTCTGGGTTTGCACGTTCCTGTAGTTTTAATCATTTGACTGCTGTGTGTGCAGTCACTTCACATAGTTACACCTGCCTTGCACTCAGCAGCAGGGCAGAGTACTACAATTATATTAATCTAAAATGTATTTACCCATGCTAATTTGAAGTTCCCGGGTGAAATGGAATTTTCAAAGAAGGTACTGAGAGACTTTTGAGACAAAGACAAACCCATCTACATGCTCTGGAGGAGAACGATGAATAAATTTATCATTTCAAATCCACCCGAATCAGAAGCGGGAAGATTCCTTCCGCGAACAGGCAGTAGTTCGGCCCATGGAAAAAGGCCTTGCTACTCTTAGAAATCACTTAGCTGTGAGTGAATTCATAACATAACTCACTCCCAGTAGATTTAAGAATGAAATTAGTACTTATCCTGACATCTTGACCAATACTTATCAAATAAGGATTTTATACTTATGGAGGGAAGAGTCCATATTTGAAATAAGATAATTTGCTTGGAGGGGTACAAGATGTGGGCAGGTATAAGACCAGAGGGGTGCTCTGCTGTCTTGCGATACCATAGTTGCTCAAATCTCCTCCTCAGTAGCTTCACAAGCATAAAACAACTGATCATGCCTATTCTGTGTTGATTAGTCAGGCGTCTTATGGCTTTAGTGAAATGTAAATAATGGGCTACTCCAGGTTGCAGTTCCATATCCATCAACCTGGACAAGGATGTTTATTTCAACTTGTTCTGATCTTCCAGATGATATGCAAATCACATGGCTCTAATGCCATCATTCTGTCCAGTGCTGGGTCAGTCAAGTAGTAACAGTCTTGACTGCCAGATAATTTGCATGCTTCTTGCCTCGAACACCTGCATGGCTCAGCACAGAGATAAAGGTTAGGCAAGTTATTTGCAGTTATGTGTGAAGAGAAAGGCACGCATGACCAGTGGACTGGTTGCAGTTCCTGAATATTTGATATATCTGACAATATATGAATATCTGACTCGTCACACAGGCACATATTTTTTTGTAGATTTGTTTACTCTGAGTACATTTGTAAGATGTGACATGGGTACTGCAAGCAAATTGTAATATTGTTAGGGTTTTTCCAGTTTTTCTTCACACTTGCTGACAACTTGGACTATCTGGATGGGAAACACACAGTGTTTGGGGAAGTTGCGGAAGGCTTTGATATTCTTGAAAAACTCAATCAACACATACTGTGATGAGGGTAACAGACCATTTCAGGATATAAGGTAAACATTGTGTTTCCTTTAATTTTAATTCTGCAAATTGTAGTATCTAAGTTTTTGTGTGTTTACATTCTTATAGGTGTAGTAGCTATTGAGAGTTAGTGCTTACTGGCAATACATATTAGTTCATATCACTAAAGGTCCTTAGAATGCGTCATGGAGTATACTGATTATTTGTGAACTAAACCATGTATTGAAAGTGTTTCATTCATTCTTATATCCTGTGTGACTTATTGATAAGTTTCACACATTTAGCCTGTGATATGACAAAGCAAAATTAGCAGCAGTTAAAATTCCTAAGGGAGATCTTAAAGATATGAAGTAAAAGTTCTAACTTTTCTCTCAACAGAACATACACATGCAAACTGTGTACACACACATGTACACTTTTATTAATGTTATGAAACAGACAAATAAGAGTATTTGTATATTTGGTCTTGGCGATAAACTTAAGCAAAGATGAATTATTATTAAGTTAATAATAAAAAAAAATAATGTCATCAGTCCATCTTCTCTTAGGGTGGCCTCTTGATTTCACTTCAGATCTTTTCATATGAAATCAAGAGGCCGCCCTAGGAGAAGATGGATTGATGACATTAAAGAGCTTCTACGTCGACACAGAATGACAATAGCCATTGCTGCTCATCGAGCGATGGATTGCAAACTGTTGCTCCCCACAATGCTTAACGGCAGAAGTGGAAATTGATGTTGAAGATGACTGAATAAAGTAAAATAATTTTATTACTTCAGGTTTAGGTACACAGTTCACTACATTGTTTGTATTTTCTTATCATCATCATTATAAACAACTGCTGCCATTAAGCGTCATGGGGAGACATAATTTGCGATCCAGTGCGCATTGGCTGGCACTAGCTTCTGTGTTGTACTTCTTGTGACAGGAGAAAATATAGCATTGAAAGATAAATTGAAACAATTAGATCCCACATGTGCATAGAAAAAAAACATTTGCGATATCATTGACTTATTTTATGAATAGAAAAAGCTTTTGTAATCAACAGTCATTTCTTGTATGTGTTGGGGAGAAGCTGTTGTAATCAACAGTCATTTCTTGTATGTTTTGGGGAGAAGCTGTTGTAATTAACAGTCATTTCTTGTATGTGTTGGGGAGAAGCTGTTGTAATCAACAGTCATTTCTTGTATGTGTCAGGGAGAAGCTGTTGTAATTAACAGTCATTTCTTGTATGTGTCGGGGAGAAGCTGTTGCAATCAACAGTCATTTCTTGTATGTGTCGGGGAGAAGCTGTTGTAATTAACAGTCATTTCTTGTATGTGTTGGGGAGAAGCTGTTGTGATCAACAGTTATTTCTTGTATGTGTCGGGGAGAAGCTGTTGTGATCAACAGTTATTTCTTGTATGTGTCGGTGGAGAAGCTGTTGTGATCAACAGTTATTTCTTGTATGTGTCGGGGAGAAGCTGCTGTAATCAACAGTCATTTCTTGTATGTGTCGGGGAGAAGCTGTTGTGATCAACAGTTATTTCTTGTATGTGTTGGGGAGAAGCTGTTGTAATCAACAGTCATTTCTTGTATGTTTTGGGGAGAAGCTGTTGTAATTAACAGTCATTTCTTGTATGTGTTGGGGAGAAGCTGTTGTAATCAACAGTCATTTCTTGTATGTGTCGGGGAGAAGCTGTTGTAATTAACAGTCATTTCTTGTATGTTCGGGGAGAAGCTGTTGCAATCAACAGTCAATTTCTTTGTATGTGTCGGGGAGAAGCTGTTGTAATTAACAGTCATTTCTTGTATGTGTCGGGGAGAAGCTGTTGTGATCAACAGTTATTTCTTGTATGTGTCGGGGAGAAGCTGTTGTGATCAACAGTTATTTCTTGTATGTGTCGGGGAGAAGCTGCTGTAATCAACAGTCATTTCTTGTATGTGTCGGGGAGAAGCTGTTGTGATCAACAGTCATTTCTTGTATGTGTCGGGGAGAAGCTGTTGTAATCAACAGTAATTTCTTGTATGTGTCGGGGAGAAGCTGTTGTAAACAACAGTCATTTCTTGTATGTGTCGGGGAGAAGCTGCTGTAATCAACAGTAATTTCTTGTATGTGTTGGGGAGAAGCTGTAAACAACAGTCATTTCTTGTATGTGTCTGGGAGAAGCTGCTGTAATCAACAGTCATTTCTTGTATGTGTTGGGGAGAAGCTGTTGTGATCAACAGTTATTTCTTGTATGTGTCGGGGAGAAGCTGTTGTAAACAACAGTCATTTCTTGTATCAACAGTCATTTCTTGTATGTGTTGGGGAGAAGCTGTTGTGATCAACAGTCATTTCTTGTATGTGTCGGGGAGAAGCTGTTGTAAACAACAGTCATTTCTTGTATGTGTCGGGGAGAAGCTGTTGTAAACAACAGTCATTTCTTGTATGTGTCGGGGAGAAGCTGTTGTAAACAACAGTCATTTCTTGTATGTGTTGGGGAGAAGCTGTAAACAACAGTCATTTCTTGTATGTGTCGGGGAGAAGCTGCTGTAATCAACAGTCATTTCTTGTATGTGTTGGGGAAAAGCTGTAAACAACAGTCATTTTTTGTACGTGTTGGGGAGAAGCTGTTGTGATCAACAGTCATTTCTTGTATCTGTCGGGGAGAAGCTGTTGTAATCAACAGTCATTTCTTGTATGTGTCGGGGAGAAGCTGTTGTAATCAACAGTCATTTCTTGTATGTGTCGGGGAAAAGCTGCTGTAATCAACAGTCATTTCTTGTATGTGTCGGGGAGAAGCTGTTGTAATCAACAGTCATTTCTTGTATGTGTCGGGGAGAAGCTGTTGTAATTAACAGTAATTTTGTGTATGTGTCGGGGAGAAGCTGTTGTAAACAACAGTCATTTCTTGTATGTGTCGGGGAGAAGCTGCTGTAAACAACAGTCATTTCTTGTATGTGTCGGGGAGAAGCTGCTGTAATCAACAGTCATTTCTTGTATGTGTCGGGGAGAAGCTGCTGTAAACAACAGTCATTTCTTGTATGTGTCGGGGAGAAGCTGCTGTAAACAACAGTCATTTCTTGTATGTGTCGGGGAGAAGCTGCTGTAAACAACAGTCATTTCTTGTATGTGGCGGGGAGAAGCTGCTGTAAACAACAGTAATTTCGTGTATGTGTCGGGGAGAAGCTGTTGTAAACAACAGTAATTTCTTGTATGTGTCGGGGAGAAGCTGCTGTAAACAACAGTCATTTCTTGTATGTGTCGGGGAGAAGCTGCTGTAATCAACAGTCATTTCTTGTATGTGTCGGGGAGAAGCTGCTGTAAACAACAGTAATTTCTTGTATGTGTCGGGGAGAAGCTGCTGTAAACAACAGTCATTTCTTGTATGTGTCGGGGAGAAGCTGCTGTAAACAACAGTCATTTCTTGTATGTGTCGGGGAGAAGCTGCTGTAAACAACAGTCATTTCTTGTATGTGTCAGGGAGAAACTGTTGTAAACAACAGTCATTTCTTGTATGTGTCGGGCAGAAGCTGCTGTAATCAACAGTCATTTCTTGTATGTGTCGGGGAAAAGCTGTTGTAATCAACAGTCAGTTTTTGTTTTAGGGCATAAAAATAATGAGTATGAAGTAAATGTGACACTCATTATATAATAAAATCATATGTGTTGAAATAAAAAACATAAATATCATTGTATGTGTATTATATTTTCATGAAATTAATTCATACGCATTTGAATATTATTTATCTGGAAATTGGCTGCATGTTTCATCCAGTGGGTGTTAATTCAGCAGATGATACACATGATAAGGATAAATACAATCATTGAACAATAATTCTCTTGTAAAACCAGAATAAGAAGTTATTTCACATTTGCTTTGTCATTTTTGCAGAATCTATCATACTGTCATCCTCGATGATCCATATGAAGACCCAGGTGGCCTGATAATTCCTTCAGTATCTCCTCTTCCCACAGAGGAAATGTTGAATGTAAGCTTGAAATTTGAGCTGTTTGATAATTGAATTGATTTTTTCCTTATTGGCACAGATAAAGTTTAAATAACAATTTTTAGAATATGAGGTGAACAATTTATTGTTTCTGAATTGTATGTGTTTTCCGGCGGGGCATAATGAGTGGATAATAAGTTTACCAGAACAGTCATAGTGTCTTATTTTTAGGCTGAATTTGTGTCAAGTGTGAGTCTAGTCTAACAAGACGCATATGATGTGTTTAGAGCAACTGTGCAAGGTTACGCCTTCAGGACATAATAGCCAGTGTGCAGTGGATCGCAAATTATTCCTCCCTACAACGCGTAATGACAGAAGTGGTGTATGGGGATGTACTACTGGAACAGTCATCATCTACATCTTAACAGAATTTTGCCAGAAATAAAGCACAAATGGGTATGCCCATTCTTAAATAAGTCAGTAAATCAGTCAGTCAGTAAATAAGCCAGTCAGTCAGTAAATAAGTTTGTCAATCAGTCTATATTGTGAACAGTTTTGGTTTACTAACATTATTTTTTAAAAATATTATTACCTTACAGAAGGAATAAGAAATAAATATATTGCATTTCACAATGATGTTGTTCCTGATTTATCCCAGAGTGACCATATTGCATGTGATGCTGACATTGATGAGGACAAGGACAAAACAGAGGAAGAGCTTGCAGAGATGATGGCAGAAAAAGAAGCCAAAGCCAACACACAGATTTTGGAAATGGTAAAAGCAGTTTTTCTCTGATGAATTTAGCATATCCTTTTAGTGTACTGTATTTGTCAGTGTATAAGATGTACCTTTTTGTTCTTAAAATAGACTTTAAAATTACCCTACATTCTACACAGAGAAGGTATACCGTTATAATTCTTAGTTGCCAGCAATCTAACTATTTCCTTTGAAGATCTTGGAATGCTTTGCTTTCAAGCTGTAATGATGTGACCTCTGAATGAGACAGAGAGGGGAATAGTATCACATGGGAAATGCATGGCTACGGAATGCTCTAATTAATCTTTGTGGGTGCTAGCATTTCATGGCATCCCTCCAGAGCGGTGTTTGTATCAGCTCTTCTGTTTTTACTGGTGACAACATGCCAGAGGGAGAGATTAGATCATTACAGGTTATTGAAAGTTGATTGCTTGTATATTCTTGAATGCTTATTTCCTCCCTATTTCTTTGTATTACTTATCGTGCCAGTCAATATTGCGAATTAGTACATTATAGTTGCAGATTAGACTTGTGTGTGTTAACCACACTGTGCTGATAGTCATAAATCTGCATGATCACAATTCCCATACGGAAACAGATTGTAAGCAGCTTTCCTACACCGCAATTTTTAAACTTCTGGTGATAAAATATATAGAAGAACATGGAAATGTCTCAGCAGAACGCCATTTTGGAGCTCCACTGATGGAAACAACCATAAGGCTTTGGTGGTCTCAGCAGAATGTTTTGTGCACAACATTGAAAAAAAAAGTTTTTTTCTGGAAAATTTCTGTTATTTTTTGGGGGAGCGTTTTAAACAAGAGAGCGTCTTAGCTCTTTGAGTCCCAAGGAACGCATCATACGTTAAAAGATTCCTACCTAGAAGCCCAATGAACGCCAAGATGCGCCGATTTTACATCTCTCTTGACTACCCCTTTGGCCTGTGATGCTAAACCCCCTGGGACTCAAAGAGTTAAACACTGACAGATGTGGTTCTCTTGCTTGAAAACTGGAATATAGGAAATGAAACAGAGAGTTTACTTTTCTAGAACACATTATATAGGACTTCTGGGATTTAAACAAATTATTATTATTAGTAGAAATCATTTACCAGATATTTTATGTTTTGAATATTTCTTGTGTCATTTATGATTATGATAAAGAAACGATAATATTAGGCTTATATAAAACTAGATTAAGAAGAAGATCAGATCAATAATTACCACATAATAAATCCAGAAATAAAAATGCACAAGCGATACCATTAATCTGGATTAAAAAGTCATCAGCAACACTTGTTCATGTAAAGATTTACAGTCATCGAATATTGAAAACAGTTTTAAGTCAATAATTGTGAATACAGGAAAAACAGAACATGCATGCCAGCATCAGTACATAGCAAAGGCAAGATAGATAAAATATAAAACAACTTAGAGCACTTTGATTATCAAAATAAAGATTAGGCAATGTTATTATCATTTGTGACCAGAAGGCTGTAAAATGCATGTGACCTGGAAAGTATTCTGTGGGTACAAGAAATGAAACAAGACAATTTCAATAAAGTTCTTCTGTGAATAAAATAAATACAGTAGATAATAATTAAATGTGGTGTGAAGTGCCCAAAAGAAGACAATATATGTGAATGGCTGAGCCCTGTAAACCCGGGATGATATAAAATAGATTAAAACTTGTCAAATTATGCAAATTAGGTTTACAAATAATGTGGCTCATCATGAGCACATGCTGGCACATGTCACAGTTTATCAAAGCTAACTCGCGTTTGGTGTGTAAAACCTGAAGAAAGGAAACATTTCTAAAAGTAGCTAGAGCACTGTATGTAACACATAATACTAGAGAGTGCCACCATAAAAATTCTAAACTAACAAGCTGATACACACAGTATTGGAAATCAGGAAAGAAATGCAGTTCTCACTGCCGACCTTTAAACCGAGAATAACTTAGAAACTGCAAGTACCCTAAGGCTGTGAAAAACTCAGGTTTTCATGAAAACAGTTGTACATTGTAACCTGGAAATAGGTAATGAAATGAGAATTTCATGTGATTTTTGGCAGTCAGGCTCTTTGCAGTTACCGTTGATTAAAGTATTAACGATCATTTGCGGTAAACTGAGCAGACACTCTGTTGTTGGCTACCATCATTTTAAATGTGTCTGATAATTCTTGTAATCTTTGGTTGAGTAAGTCATCTACAGTTTATTATCTGATTGTTTTTGTTTGTTTTTTGGGTTGCTTTGCATAGTATGGTGCACAGTGAGGGTTCATTACATGTTTCAGTTAAATCATGCCTGGATATTGTTTTCTACTGAAAGGGGAAGATATGCCCAGCAGTGAAAATGTGACAACTGTGAGCATCGGAGTAATGGCTGTTAAACTATTTGCAGCAGTTAGACCTATGTTTATCTCCTTCCCTCTGTGTGTATCTGTCTGTTTTGTCATCTCTCTGCACCTCTCTGTGTCTACCCCTTCTCTCCCTCCCTTTATATATCTATTTGTTCATCCCTCTCTCTCTGTCTTTCAGTGTCTGTTTTCCCTCCTCGCTGCAACTATGCTTGTTTCCCCCTCCCTCTCTGCTTGTCTCTGCCTGCTGGTCCTTCCCGTCTCCTCTCTGTTTGTCACTGTCTGTATCTTCTCTTCCCTCTCTGCCAATACGTGTCTCTCCACCCCCAGACCGCCTATTTTTTTGTTTCTTTCCCTCCACCTCTCTCTCTCTCTTTTACTTTCCATTTTTATCTATCTCAGTCTCTACCTGTCTTTCCCTTTAAAAACATTACATCTTTGTGGGAATGCCTGCCTGTGTTTGTGCCCGAAACCAGCGCCACTGTGCCCGGTGCGGCCTTAAAGAATATCAAAATAACTTGAAAAGACCATGAAATTTTTTTTTTCTTTTTAAAAAGTTTTTTTTTTTTTTTTTTTTAATATGCATTATTCTGTTCTATTTTCAAGTATTCTGAATAGCAAAACAATTTGGTCCATTTATGTATTGAATGTGAATTCTTCATAGTTATTGCAGTCAGTATTTTTGCTCACTTTGTGTATTTGAATTTGTTGACAGGTGGGTGATCTTCCTAATGCTGATGTTGCACCTCCAGAAAATGTACTATTTGTTTGCAAGCTCAACCCTGTAACAACAGCAGAAGATCTAGAAGTAATTTTTTCACGGTTTGGTCCAGTCGTCAACTGTGACGTTATTAAGGTTGGTTGACAAGAGTTTACAATTTTTTTTTTTTTCAAATTATTATTGTCCAAAAGTTTGTTTTATGACTTTTACATTGTATCGAAAGATCATTTCGAGAAATAACACTTTGTGTATTGCTACAAGAAGATACTTAACAATTCTGAATTGTAGTCCGTGTTTTAGTTTGGCAGGGAATAATTCTTCATAGAAGTCCATGATTTAAGTTGCCAGCAAGAACCTTATTAGATCATAAAATTAACAATCCACCAAAAATTAATTTATAACTTTAATATTTATACAGAATTCAAGAAATACAGACTAATCTAGCTGTGTAAACATTCTCAGCCTATTACATTCACCAGTGTGATACAGTGAAAGCAGACTCATTCGTCAATTTAGGATGAATGAAGAGGCATATAAATTAGCCAGAAAAACTTATCAGTGTCATATGTGACATGTATTTATTCATGTATGACACTGATAAGTTAATCTAGCTAATTTAAATATCTCTTCATTCATACTAATTTTACAATGAGATAAATACCCACCACAAAAATGGGACATATGCACACCCAGGCCAAAACACGTTCCATCATGGTACCATTGGAAGCTTCATCTCTCCTATGTGGGTTCTGGGGCCTATGGGGGGGGGGGGGGGGGGGAGGGTAGACCCAGTCCCTCTAGCAATCATGTCATAGGTGACTGATTAGAGGTGTTTCATTAAAAATTGCCATGCATTTGCCTGAGAGACAAGAAACTAGCAGTCTGCGTACAAATAAGCCAAATCTGTAAAACTTGAGTGTATGCAAAAGTGTTGCAACAAGATCCAGAAGTGAAAGAACAACCCTAACTTCCTGCCGGCAGCCAGTGAACAGTAAAAGACTTAAAAGACCTTCCCAGAATGTTGTTGACTCAGGCTCATCTCCTGAATCATTTACTCGTCTACCTCCTTGAAAGCATTGAGAACATCAGCCTGGTCCATTGCTTGTCCTGTCCCCCATGTGGGTTCTGGGGCACTATTGTGGGGAAAACAAGAATAGACACACTACCTCCCCAAAAGCATGTCGTAAGAGTCGACTAACAAGGGAGCTTCCTTTGAAGTCGGAATGCATCTGCCTGAGAGGCAAGGGACCAGCAGTCTGCATTCAATTGAATCAGAACTGTAAAACTGATGCACACGCAACACTCAGGTTCTGGAGCAGGACTGCAGTCCAGAAGTGGACGAACAACCAGAACTTTACGCCAGAATGTACAGCTGGTGAACGCGAAGAAGAAGAAGAAGAAGCTTGTCCTGTACCTACCATGGCCCTGCCAGCGAGCCAATCGGCACGTTTGTTCATTTCCTCTTGCTCTGAGTCTGGTACAAAAATGAAACTTATTCCTGCCAGGCATGATTCCCTTAGTTACTCCACCCATTGTCTTTGAATCCATCCTGTTTCAATCTTCTTAAACCTGCTCATTGTATCGCTTAGAAAGCACACATGGGAAAAATTATGTGTCTCTAGTCACATCATTGCTTTTGTTACCGCTATCACCTCCATGGTCAGACTACTTGTAGGTGAGGCAAAAAACGGTTAACTTCCTTTACTATTCTCCCTCAAACCATTCGAACCATAACTGTAAAAGCCAGTGAACTTTGTACATGTCGAATGATGGATCCCTTAGTGTAAAAAATGACAGATCCATAGGCTGACATTTTTGGGCTAACCAACATTACAAAGCAAAGGAGGAGCGACCTCATCAGATCTGAATGGACATTAATTTGTGCTTATGGATAACAGTTACCAAATACTGAAACAGACATTGCATTATTTGATAGTTTTAAATATATTAACTGTGTGTTGTATTCAACAGGATTCCAAAACAGGTGAATCCCTGCAGTATGCTTTCATTGAGTTTGAAAATCCTCAACATTGTGAGAATGCATATTTCAAAATGGACAATGTTCTTATTGATGATAGACGCATCCATGTGGATTTCAGTCAGTCCGTGTCTAAACTCAAATGGAAAGGAAAAGGTTTGTACTTGATATTGATTAGTGTTATAATTGTTCCTCCAAATTTAACAGTTAACACCTCATTTTGTCCCCCTATTGACTGACTCATAAGATTTTGTGCTGAACTGCGATTTATGGGGATACAATTCCAGAAGTAAATTGTCATTGTTTTTCTTATTTTCATTAATTTTAACAGTGCTATCTGGTCCTGTTGATGCTTTATTGAAAGCCTCCTTTCATCATCATCTGTACCAGGTCCTCTACAGACCCTCGCTTCTATCACAGACTGCATAAAAGAACTTTGGTCTCTCATAAGCTCTTCCACTTCATGCTTTTTCCTGCCCAGTATATATGTGGTTCTTGACCTAGGCCAGTGGAATGATAGTACACTAGAGGTTCAGGGTATACAGATAGATAATGGGGGCAGTGGAATATAGTAAATGTTTACACTGCGGTTGACTCTCTTGTAACAAAGGAACATTAGGAGTTGGAGGAAATCCCTGGTAATAGGCTTCTCATTTGTGGGGATTTCAATGTGCGGAACAGATTATGGGACAGTACTAGGGCAATAAGACATGGAAATGCTTTAGCAGAGGCTATGGTGGATGCAGACGTAGTCTGTATAAACGACGGTAGGCTAACTAGAATGGAAACGAGACCTGGTGATGCAGACACAGCAATTGGTTTGGCTTTTGTTGCCCAGTCATCAGTGCTGGACACAAAATGGAGTGTCCTAGGCTATCATGGGAGTGACCATATGTCATGCTCAGTCTTGATTTCTAAAGCTAGCAAGGTCAGGGCTGTGAAAACGCTCAAGACTTTTAAGTATGAGAGGGCCAGTTCTCTTTTTGGACACCTTTGACAGAAGGTTTGCAGCAGAACTACAACTTCTGCTTTTGTGCAGCCTCCATGCTGGACCCAAGAAGTAGAACAGGCATGGAAAGCAAAGCAAGCAGCAGTTAAACAATTACAGAAGGTACGAAAGGCACCTCGCAGGTTAGAAGAGGATGTAGAGAAGCTAGAAAGGGTGAGAGAAAAAAAGTAGAAGAGTTGAAGCAATGTGCAGCAGATGCATAAAAGGCCTGGTCTAATGCAGCTGCTTATGATGTTTATGAAGGGTTCCAGAACAGACCAAGGACAGTTGTGGCAGCACTTGATCTTGATGTTGCCTACAATAGAGTCAGATATCTGCACTCATGGAGAAGGGAATTTGTCCTTGGCTTATGAACTGGATAGCAGCTGTCCTGCATTCTTGTATGGTTGCCCTTCGCCTGGGTACATGGACCTCTGAACCATGTAGTATAGCCCTGGGACTACCCCAGGGTTCTGCCAATGACTGGCTGCTTGTCAACAGTGAGCGTATGAAAATTGACTGGCTGCTTGTTGACAGTGAGTGTATGAAAATTGACTGGCTGCTTGTTGACAGTGAGCGTATGAAAATTGACTGGCTGCTTATTGACAGTGAGCATATGAAAATTGACTGGCTGCTTATTGACAGTGAGCATATGAAAATTGACTGGCTGCTTGTTGACAGTGAGCGTATGAAAATTGACTGGCTGCTTATTGACAGTGAGCATATGAAAATTGACTGGCTGCTTATTGACAGTGAGCATATGAAAATTGACTGGCTGCTTGTTGACAGTGAGCGTATGAAAATTGACTGGCTGCTTATTGACAGTGAGCATATGAAAATTGACTGGCTGCTTGTTGACAGTGAGCGTATGAAAATTGACTGGCTGCTTATTGACAGTGAGCATATGAAAATTGACTGGCTGCTTGTTGACAGTGAGCATATGAAAATTGACTGGCTGCTTATTGACAGTGAGCGTATGAAAATTGACTGGCTGCTTGTTGACAGTGAGCATATGAAAATTGACTGGCTGCTTGTTGTCAGTGAGCGTATGAAAATTGACTGGCTGCTTATTGACAGTGAGCATATGAAAATTGACTGGCTGCTTGTTGACAGTGAGCATATGAAAATTGACTGGCCGCTTGTTGACAGTGAGCGTATGAAAATTGACTGGCTGCTTGTTGACAGTGAGCGTATGAAGAGTGGCTGGCTGCTTGTTGACAGTGAGCATATAAAAATTGACTGGCTGCTTGTTGACACTGAGCGTATGAAGAGTGGCTGGCTGCTCAACATTGAGTCTTGAGTCAATTTAATGAAATATAGTTTGAAGATATTCCATAACATATAAAGCTACCATTACTGTGAAGTATTGATTGTATGCAGTACTCTAAAACCATGCTTCCTTAAACTGTTAACATTTGATTACAAATTCCAGCATTAGGTTTGTGTCATCAGTTACTGTGTTCTCATGGTATTATGTAACTTAATCAGTTATTCTTGGTTGGATTTTGTACATCTGTTTGTTTCGTTCTTTTTAATGCAGGAAAAGGAGTAGAAATCATATCTACTGGTGATGCACCTGTTTACGTGTTAAAAAACCAGCACAGATCAAATAAGTATCCTTACTAATGATAAAAATTAGATTTCGTAATGCAGGATGATTGTTTATGTCTTATTATTTCTTGTGCATTTGACTGAATTATATTATTTTGTCCTAATACTTCTGTCCATGTTCATAATCATAATTTCCCCCCCCCCCTCATTTTTTTTCTTCTAAAAGTTAGTTGCATATCCTTTACAGACACTGTAGAATCAATTCCAGCATGTTTTGGTTGTTCATGATTTTATTAGGCAATTTGATGTTCAGTAAGCTGCCATTGCTTGCTGAATGGTTGGCTATCAATGCCACTGTTGAAAACAATGCAAAGTACTCTGCTTCCAAATTGCTTGCTGCTGGGATCAGACTGGGTGTCTCTGAATTACAAATCATGTTCACAGTTCCTAAACCACAAAAACTGACATAGATTTTAAATTAGCTAAAAAAAAATGGATGTTAATCATTATCATCAGTCAGGTGCCATCTCCACAGTTATGGTTGGCTGCAGTGGATGACCAAAATGCTCTGTCTCTGATCTTGGTTGTACACTCTCTCAGACTGCGTGTTGTCTGTCTCTTGATGTTGTCCTGTCACTTGTATTGTTATCTACCTATTACTGCCTTGCCCTCGACATTTCCCTCCAGCATGGTTTTTTTTAAATATGTTATGTCTTTTGATATTGCCAGAATATTTCAATTAACCCCTTTTTTTTTTTTTTCAGTAATTCTCTTTTCATTTGTAGTCTTTCTAGGACCCTGAGAAGGCCAGTGTTTTGTGGTGCTCTTTAAATAACAGGATTGGAAAGGAAGACCAGCCTAGTATATCCATGAAGGGTATAAATGTTGAAAGAAGAGATAGGTTAAAATACTTAGGTCTGGCATTTAATCACAGTGTCCTACAAGTATCACCTGGAGCAGACTGATCAAATGCCAATGTGGTCTGACAGCACAAAAGACAATGGTGGTGACACACATGGAGCAGAGACTATTGGTCTCATTGTCGAACCATCTGGTCCTTTCACTAGTTGATTATGGCCTGGGAATGTTAACACTATGTACCCCAGAGTGTGCACAACTTGAACAGATTCACATTGAAGGAATGAGAATGGTCCTGGTGTGCACATGAGATACACCAGTTAGAGCAATGCAGTATATGCTTGGGCTGACATCTCTAAAGCCTAAACTGTCACTGGTACAGGCCAAGGCCTGTATGCAAGTTACTAATGATAAAAGGTATTTACTGCATGGCAGTCTGAAAGATTGTAGAGGAGAGCGGTTAAAAAGTGGAAAGTCATGAGTGGCACTAGCTAAAGATAATATCCAACTGGTGACCTCAGTCAAGAAAATAAAGTGGGGTATATAATCTCTGTGCTACTGGAACAGTCAGCATCTAAACTTTAAGACATTTGCTGCAGGGGAGCATCTGTGGGTATGCCTGGTGTGTTGTGATGTTGATTCATAAATCTTATCAGTAATCAGCATGTATTTAATGGATTTCTCACATGGTCAGCTCTTAAGATATCAGCTGTCATTCTTCACTCATAATAATGTATTAATACATCTGATGATTAAATACAAACACACTGCAACATTTTTGCATGAAACCATTTATCAGTTTGCCAAGTACTGTTAGTAAAATTAGTTAGTCTCTATCCTCTTGGGTCTAGGGCAGAGGTCATAGCTCTCCATGTCTGGCAGTTCATTGTTTGAGGTCTTTGACATTTTTCAGGCCCATGGTTGAACCCTCCCTGATGATGGTTCTACACAGAGTGTTTCTTGGTCTCCCCCCTTTTTTTTTTTTTACTTTCCTGTGTCCATAGGAGAGCTTTATGGTGAAGTCTCGCTTTATCCATTCTTAGTGCATGGCCGATGATGTTCTAGCAGCATATTTTTAAAAAAATTGGATACATTATCAGTATAGTTATCTGATTTATTTATCATATGTTGTTTGTACTGCAACAGACCACTGATTAGTGTATCTGGTCTGTTTACTATAGACCACTGATTAGTTTTTCTGGTCTGTTTACTATAAACCACTGATTAGTTTAGCTGGTCTGTTTACTATAGACCACTGATTAGTTTAGCTGGTCTGTTTACAAGAGACCACTGATTAGTGTATCTGGTCTGTTTACTATAGACCACTGATAAGTTTATCTGGTCTGTTTACAAGAGACCACTGATTAGTTTATCTGGTTTTTTAAACTAGAGACCACTGATTAGTGTATCTGGTCTGTTTACTATAGACCACTGATTAGTTTATCTGGTCTGTTTACAAAATACCACTGATAAGTTTATCTGGTCTGTTTACAAGAGACCACTGATTAGTTTATCTGGTTTTTTAAACTAGAGACCACTGATTAGTGTATCTGGTCTGTTTACTATAGACCACTGATTAGTTTATCTGGTCTGTTTACAAAATACCATTGATAAGTTTTTCTGGCCTGTTTACAAGAGACCACTGATTAGTTTATCTGGTTTTTTAAACTAGAGACCACTGATTAGTGTTTCTGGTCTGTTTACTATAGACCACTGATTAGTTTATCTGGTCTGTTTACAAAATACCATTGATAAGTTTATCTGGCCTGTTTACAAGAGACCACTGATCATGTTTAATTTGTAAGAGACTTCTAGTTATTTCTTAACTATATTTTAGTCAGTATGATCTGGTATATGAGCATGATGATGTCAGAGCAGACTTCAAGAAGAGAACAGATCTTGCAGGTGGTGCCAAAAGTCAACAAAAACGGGTTAGTATTGTAAAATATAAAAGCTGTTTCTCTTCTTCTTTTGCAAACTAGGTTTGCACTCTGACTTTGAGAGACAACTTTCTCCCCTCAGTTAGCGACCTTTTATGACATGCTTGTTTTGGGTTGAGGGGGGGGAGGAGAGATATTTAAAAACAGCATTAAACAGCCAGAGAACACATGCAAGACAATTAAAAACAACATACAAGAGCTTTCTGGGGCGAAATTGTGAAAACCGCCCTTAAAGAAAAGAAGCAGAAATATAAAAATGGCTGTGTGGTTTTGCTTTTTAGCATGAAAACCAGCCTCAATGAAAAGAAACAGAAATATAAAAATGGCTGTGTGGTTTTGCTGTCTTAGCATGAAAACCAGCCTCAAAGAAAAGATGCAGAAATATAAAAATGGCTGAGTGGTGGCACAAAAAGCTCAGGATTTCAGTGGTGCCATCTTGGCAAGTACAGTAAGTGTTACAAAAAACATTGTTGCTGTGATGATGTCACTGCTTTGGTGGTTGGAAATACACTTAGAGTGTATCCAGGAACCTGCTTAAGAATCAAAACCAAAAGGCCAGGTTTTATTTTCAAAAGGTTACAAATTAGATATGCAAGAAAACAAATTAGAGCTACAGCTACCTGTATATTTAAGGTTTTCTATGGGTGGCCAGGGATGTGCATGAAGTGTTTGTCACCTAGACAGATTAAGATCAATCATTTTACTTCCTAAATTTATGTCATCATCTAATCAACACTTGGGAGTTACAGGGCTGAGGAGAAGACATCCTGTGATACTGATGGTTTTGTGCAGCCAGATAAGAAAATTAGTAGGAGTGGTTAGTGACAGTTGGCAAGATCACATGAAAGTGGTAGAACATGTGAGAATAACTCACCACATTTGATTGAAGATCACAATCAGTGTATCCTTACATTGACTTTCTTCACTATGGAAGAAACATTTTTTGTTCTCAGATTCTTAATCTTTGTTTTAAAGAAGTGTCAAACAGAAAAATGTATCATGGGTGGATAAAATACAGCAGCAATGATAGATGAGTTGAGTTGAGTCAAGAATTGACATCTCAGCAGTCAGGCATTTCCATGTGCATTCCGTCTTCATCTTCAGCAGCCAGCGCAGAGTTCCAGCACTAATGGTACCCGTTGTAATCTGGTTATATATATCCATCTTGCCTTTCCTTTAAGTGTAATGAGCCGGCCAGACCCTCTAGTTACACCCAGGTGCACCATTCTCTCCAGGCCATAAAAATCTTGTTCCTCTTCTAACTTACTTTGATATAACAATGATTTATGATAGACACAATGATAACTATCCCATACTGGCACCAAAGACACCCATGGCTGCAAGAGGTTGGCTTGCTGGCAGAGTGGAGTATGGCTTCCTCTGTGTGATAGTTGGACAGTGGTTTCCCACATAGACACACATGATGATGAGAGAGCAAACTCACAGTTCAATAGTTTATTCTTTTTCTAAACACAGTTTCATCTAGCTGCTGTCTTCTGATCTATTACATGGTCTGAGATTCAACAATCAAATGTTACAGTACACGCATACCATGTTCACAATTGTCAGCAATGATTACCTTGCATTCTTGGTGGATCATAATATACAGGTGACAAGTTTGCATCTCTGATACTCTGCTGCCAATCTTCACAGTCGGGCTGGGTGTCACTTGAATAACTTCTGGTCAGGCATTCATCTTGAGGAATCAGAACTTCTCCACACGTCGTCAGATACAATTCACAGCAGTCACACACTTCTCGAACTCGACCAGTCACTCTTGCTGCCAAACACCAGCTCATTCAATCTTTGTTTCACCTTTCAAACCTCTCTCTGGCTTCCCTGTGCTGTCACCCTTCCACTGGTCAGTTAAACCCATGAATTTGCGAGTGGTTTCTTTCTCGCGTCCTGTTCCCTTGACTTACCCTTGACCCTATGTCCCCATCTAGAACCCCGTTGGGGAAATTCCCCCCTTATTACACAGAGCCATGGTTGGCACAGGAAAGGCAATGCACCAGGCTGTTGTTCTCAGTGCTCTAAGGAAACAGGATGAGTAGATGAAACTTGACAAGATTAAAAGAACTTCATGCAGCATATACTTGCATTGCCATCTGTATGTGAGGTTTTACAGGCGAAAGTGTACCTTAAAGGTTGCAACAAACAAGAAACACTTTCTAGCAAGGGACAACAGCTGAAAAGAGGAGGCTCTTGGATGGCACAAGCAGAAGTTAAGATCAAAACTGTTTGTGTTTCTGAGAGGACAATGCATGGCAAAGAATGGGTTACAGTGTCACCCAGCACTACAGACTTGCACAGAGTGATAGTTACCTTGAAATGAGGGTGCCCAATGGATAGCTGGTGAAACAGTGTTACAAGAGCTGATTAACGAAAATTCACATCTAAGTGACATTTTAATACATACAGATGGGTCTTTAGTAAAAGGTGAGAAGAACGAGTGGGGTTTTAATGCAAAGGTGAATGGACACTTGTATTTAAAAACAGACAGTCTCGCATACAATGAACATCTGATGTGAGAATGGAGGTGGAGGCAGTAATGGCAGCTGTCCGATGGTTTGAGAGTAGTACAGCCCGAAATGTTGTAATTATAAAAGACTCACAGGGCATGCTTCGGAAAAATGAAACTGGTGTCCTGCGCAGAGTAGGATGCATCACTTAATAAGATGCAAATCTGGAATATTTTGTCGATTTTCTGTCCAGGATATTCAGGTCTGTTAGGTAAGGAGCAGGCTGATAGATTAGCTGCTATCGCACCTCTGGGCGAGGAGCTACTTTATGATAAAGTGGATGTGATGGAGGCTGTATATGGGATTCAATGAGCAATGCAGTAGAACAGATAGAGAATCCATACATTGAAAGACTAATCATTGAGGGTGGGGGGAGAAGATGGTAGAAGCTCTGGAAGATGTTCATCATCGATGGAAAACAGAGGCAGACTTTTGATCAGGTTGCAGCTGGTACTATTAGCATGATGACTCTTCGTTGGCTGCTGAAGAAGGAGATGGAGCACATGTGGGAATGTCCCGATGGCAGTGATATCAATTCTTGATTCATTCATTCATGTAAAAAGAGGTATTTCCAAACATTAAGACTGTACTGGTAGCCAAAGAAGAATAGTAAACCAACACAGAACTGGTGTTATTAGTCAGCACACACAGAGGGAAATACTGGAGAGGTCTAAGCACTTATGGACTTGTGAAGTGAGGATGATTGGTTGATGAACTAACTATCAGAAACTTATCACCTTTTGAATAATGACCTAGCAAGTGTTGTACCTGAGTCTGGAATTAAACATTATAAAGGATGGAAAGATTACATAAAAGGTATGCACTGATATGTATACACCAGTTTTTTTTTTTTTTTTTTTTTGTCTTCCTATTATGAGCAGCTAATTTGAATCATGAATGGACTCTAGTAATAAATTTGTATGTAAAGAGAGATTACATGTTGCTAGTTTAATTAACGTATTATTTACTTCTTTTTATTATTATTATTTTTTTCAGAAGACTTCGCCAAGTCCAGTCCATAGAAGTATCAATGAACACAAATCCAGAGGTCATAAAAGTAAAAGGTCCAGGTCATTTGATACAGAACAAGACGGGACAAGCAAAGACACAGATGAGCTGGAGTTTCAGTCACAGAAATCTCACAGTCGTATAGAAAGGCATAATTTCAAGAAAGAGACAAGGCAGACAGAACATTTTGAGAGGACTGAATTCAATGAGAAAAGTAATGCGAGAAAGAGAAGTAAAGAGAGGAGATTGGATAAGAAAAGATCTGCATCCCAGTGGAACAATAACAGTGAAGGAAGAGAGACAAAGTATCATAAGCATACTCATTATCCTGGCACAGATAGTGACAACACTCAAGCTGACAAACCTAAGGATAAGAAAAAGAAGAAAAAGCACAATAAACATAAAAAACATAGGTACAGTTCAGATTAATTACTGTAGAGCCAGTAAATGTTCACAAATCAGGAATCATGATTTTTGTGAAAAACAGAAATATGCTAATATAATAGTGTACATTTCTATTTTCTAAGTTCTAACGAGTGTAAGGGGTCATGTTTTATATTAATAAAAAGGTCAGTTATTCAGCAAATGTATTCAATGCTTTTCTTGTCAGATCATGATAATTTATGGCTACTGCTAGACTGCTAGCTTTGTCTACTGTTTGCTTATATGTGATGTACTGAAATGCAGCAGTGGTGCAGTTTTTTTTTTGCCGTTGACATGTTTATTCTTGGTATGTGAAGTAGTGTTTCTATTGAGTTAACATCCCTTTAAATGTCGTCATCATTGTCTGAATTTGTGTGCTTTCTTGATATTTAGAAGTTCAAGAATGTTGCAAAAGTAAAAAAGGTAAAGGTAAAGTCGGGAGATGTGAACCAGCATCATTGCACACGGTAATAAACCATAAGTGCTCTGCCACCAGTACAAACAGCTGATAAGAAGCTGTCCGCCTGTGTCGCCGTTCGCACGTAACTCTGTAGCTACAGCGACGTCCCTCATTTAACCCAGAGTGTCACTCTGGTACCCATTTCCTAGAGGCTGGATGAACCCCGGGCACCGCCCGGTTTTGAACACCAACCGTGGCTGCAACAAGTTGCAGCTGGATTTAAAAGCGAGCCTCCTATCGACTGTGCTAACGCGGCTCCGCTTGTTGTGGGATTGTGATCATATTTGTAGGCTCAGGTTGACAGGCCATGATGATGGCATTTAAAATTGTTGTTTGTTTTTGTGTAGACACGGCTCAAAAGCTAAAAAGCAACTGGTGCTGATGCAATTGCAGCTGAATGTATTAAAGAAGGTGGTCATGCATTGCATATAAAGATATATGAATTAATAAAGCTAGTTTGGAAGAAGGATAAATTACCCCATGAATGGAAAGTGTTTTTATTAATACCCATTTTTAAGAAAGGAGACGCCCGTCTCTCTAGCGTAGTTGGCTAAACCGGATTGCGCGGTGAGCAGGTGACGAACTCCTTGTGGTCCGGGTTCACTCCTGGGGGTGGACAGAAAAGCCACATTTCTCCCAGATTTACGGTATTTAAAATGGAATCAAGGCCGAAAGGTTGCGATATCCATAATACCGAGCCTAAGGGTTAACAACTCATGGCTTCTGGATACTCAAACAAACAAGAAAGGAGACAAGTATAAGTGTGAAAATTATAAAGGAATATCACTATTATTTACACGCTATAAGATACTATCGGTGGTACTGCTAAACAGGCTAAAACCATACATCAAAGAGATAGTCTCGAATAATCTTTGCCTGTTTTCAGAAGGGGGATCAGATAGCTGTGTATTAATCCTGGTACTGACTCTGTTCTGACTCTCTGGTTAAAGTGAAATGCCATCTCCCTCAAGTCTTCATCACTCATGCTCTTTATATCCCCCACCCTAATGATATCCTGAAAATAATTATCATTTATAGTATTACACAAATTATCTCTAACTGAATTTCTAAGCTCCCTATCATTATGATCGGTTTGGGCTATAAATCTCTTTAAAAATGCTTCCCCTTTCCCTTTGTCTGTTGTCGTTGGCATAGCATTATCAGTGAATATTAAGCCCTGTTGTGATAGGCTGATCCTTCCTTTGCATCTGTCTGTGCAGTTTCCAAAACCTACCTAGTGATTTATCCCCCCCAATTTCGCTCATAAAATGTTCCCATTTAGCCTATTTTGCATCTGCTGCACAATGCTTGAACTCTTCTACTTTTTCTGTTCTAACTTTTCCTAGCTTCTCTACATCCTCTTGTAACCTGTCAGGTGCCTTGCTCACTTTCTGTGATTGTTTAACTGCTGCTGGCTTTGCTCTCCACGCCTGTTCTACTTCTTAGGTCCACCACAGAGGCTGCACAAAAGCAGAGGTGGTAGTTCTACTGCATACCTTCTGTGGAAAGCGTCCAAGAAGCGTAGAAGGAGGAGGAAGATGAAGAAGGAGAAGCAGCAGTGGCCCAGGACCTACAATATAGGGTAAAGGCAATGGCATTGGGGAGGGGGGGCCAAAAATTACCATATTGCTACATAGTAAACTTCAGTATATTGCAATCTTCTTCTTCTTCTGCCTTTTTATCCCCCAATGGAGCATAGGCCCTCAACCAACTCACGCCAAGTCGTTCTATCCTTCGCCATTACATGGAGCTCTCCCAATCTTTCTAACCTCATTCTCCAGCTCTCTTCTCCATGTGTTTTTTGGCCTTCCTTTATTCCAGGTGCCAATTCTGGAGGTTTTCCTAGCTGAGAGGAGGTAAGTCAACGATCCAGACTCCTTACGGCTTTCTCCACACCGTGTCATACTTCTTCTATTTGAAGAGCCTCCCCTCATCTTGGTTGGCTGGAGTTTATTTGCTTCTCTTTTTGACTTATCCATGGTTGGTTGGTTTTTGTGGCTATGGAATTAAATGCAGAGCAACAAAAAAAAATACTTCTATAAATTAAACATTGAAGTGGTTCTAAACATGGCATCCTCTAATGTCTTTATCGAGGAGGGAAGTAGTCAGTTCACAATCTGCTACAACCCTTATGTTCTGAATAAATAGAAGAGTGCCCACACCTACAATATTTTGTGGGAAGCAGAGGCTCAACCCTCCTCCCACCTCCCACTTCAAACAATATATAGATGTTCTTTTTAAAGTATTTGTTTATACGTATCATATTAGTTGAAATAATGCACTCAAGGTGGTTTTGGTAGCGGTAGTAAAAGTAGTAGTGGTAGTAGTAGTTGTAGTACTAGTAGTAGTCTGGTAGTCTGGACTAGTAGTAGTTGTTGTAATAGTGGTGGTGCTGGTAGTAGTAGTAAGCAGCAGTAGTAGTAGTAGAGGAAGAAAAAGGAGGATGAGGAAAAGAACGAATGCCTTTTTAGTGATTCTTCTCTGACAAGGGAGTCTGCCTTGTCCTAATCAATATCGGTTATAATTATGGCAACAAATTGTTTTGCTATTTTATTGCACAGTGTTAAATGCAAGTATTTTACGTCTTTCGTGTCTGTCTGGCTGACCATGTCGTGACCGTATCATTGTGCAGGCTTGGATCTGATTATGTAATATATTCCTTATTGTGCCATCCCTTGGTGGTGTTACTGGCATTGGTAGGTAGGTAAGTTATACCCCACCAGGACATCACACAAGCAATAATCACCTGGCGACACAAAGTGCCACCATGCGGATGAGGATCACCCGTGGAGAGGTCCCAGAAACCCTGTTCTGCCGTTAGGCCATAATTAAGACCCGGCTATATTAAGGGCCCCGGCAAAAGCCAGGTTGGGGCTTTAAAATAACTTGAAATAACTAGCGGTTTCCGGGACCTCTTCACAGGTGATCCTCATCCGCATGGTGGCACTTTGTGTCATCCGGTGTTTATCGCTTGTGTGATGTCCTAGTGGGGGAAAATGTACTACTATTGCAAGCTATAAAATACTATCGGCGGTTCTGCTAAACAGGCTAAAACCATAGGTCGAAGACATATTGGGAGATTACCAAGCAGGTTTTCGACAGAACAGATCAACAATAGATCAGATAGTTATTTTACGGGAAATAGCAGGGCAAAATTTGGAATAAAGAAAATATGTACATAATGTTTTTGTGGATTTTAAAAAGGCGTGTGATAGTGTGCCTAGAAACAGTTTTTGAAATACTATGAAGGACTTTGAAATACCAAAAAAGTTAATTAGCATGACCAAACTGTATGGTTTAATATATAGAGGCAGAATGTCAGACCCTTTTCAAATAACATCTGGTTTAATGCTCTGTCCCCACTTCTTTTCATCTTGGCCCTGGAGAAAATTATAAAGAAATTAAAGAAACAAGAGTGTACTATAGGAGAAATACAAGAATACTTGGATATGCCGATGACATTGATAACGTTGGAGAAAATAAACTAGAGACTGTTAAAAAACTGACTGACTTAAAAGAATCAGCTCAGAAAATGGGACTAGTTATCAATCAAGACAAGACAGAATACATGATAATAACTAGACAGGGAAAGGATATAAACTCCGACCACATACAAGTCGATAATATGAAAATCAAACAAACGAACTGCTCCAACATGCTAAGAAAAGAAATACAATCTTGAAATAAAGTATACTATGCCCTTCAACATCTGCTAAAGTCAAAGTGTTTGTCTCGCAACACCAAGATCAAAATATATAAAACATTGATTAGACCAGTCCTGTTATATGGCTCTGAAACTTGCAGCACAACTGAAAGAGATGAAGCCTTACTACAGGTTTTCAAAAACAGGGTCTTATGACGAATCTTTGCACCCATCACAGATGCAAACAGTGGTAAATGGAGAATGAGAAGCAACAACAAAATTCATAATTGTTTAAATCACCACTGATCACTGGCATCATGAGAGCTAATTTACTGAAATGGTTGGGGCATATTGAAAGAATGTCAGATGACAGAGAAGTAAAAACTGTATACACCAGGGAGATGAACGGTCGTAGAACAAGAAGATGATGGAGAGATAATGTCCAGACACACCTGCAAACACTTAATGTCACTAACTGGAAAGAGAAGGCAAACCAGAGAGATAAATTGAGGAAGGTGATATCTGCAGCAATGAACCACAAGGGCTCAAAATGCAGAAGAAGTTGTGGGTGTAAAGTTTGTGTTGTGTATTCATCATCACCATCATCATCCTTTGTGTGCCTTTAGACGCCACATGGGGATCACATGCGTGCAACTCTCTCGATTTCTGCCATGGAATTCAGCCCAGAATTTTTAGCCTCTCATAATAATTTTCCTAATGTATGTCTTGGACGTCCTCTTTTTCACAGATTGTTTGTTTCCTATTTCAGTGCTTGTTTTGTAATTCTTTGCTCATTTTATTTCAGAGTATGCCAAATATATCTCAACCTTCTTTGTCTTATCGCAGTCGATACAGGTTTGTCATGTATTACAGTATACTTATTCTTGAGCAAGGTCCCCAGCA